TTTCCTCAATTTCATAGGTTTTGGAGAAACTGTAAGTATATGTATGTGAGTATCTATACTAATTATGTAAAGAGAAGTATTTTTCTTTGTAACAGATAACCTCGCGAACAGCTGGTCCGATTTCCATGAAATTTTGTATATAAATAGCTTTCAGCAACCACCATGTCATAGGCAAAAATTACTTTTATCCGGTAGGTGGACCAGGGACCGATCTATTCGAAAAAATCGTATTATGATCCAATTTGCTCAAAATTTGGTACCTAGGTAGCTTTTTAACATATAGGATAATTTTTACCGGGAAGTGGACCTGGGACCGATCTATTCGAACAAATCCTATTTATGGTTCGTTATGGAATCCTATTTTCCGGTAAAAGGGCCAGGGACCAATCTATTCGAAAAAAAATCTTATTTATTGTGCGATTTGCTTGAAATTTCATAACTTGGTAACTTATTGCCTGGATTAACATATAGGATACTTTTTTTCTGATATGTGGACCAGATACCGAGGTAATTGAAATGAATCCCATACTCATGGTAAGAAGTAGGGGTTATTGGAAAAGGGTGCGTGGCGCCTTGCAAACATACTGAAACTTATACCTATCTGTAAATACATACCTTACCTTAATTCACGGAGGCCCTAACCAACACTTTTTTCGAAACTGCGTTTTTCACAGAATTTGGTAGGATGTATTAAAATACACCTTCAATAATAATTTTAAAGTGTTAGAACCAAAAATAACCACATGCAACCTGTTTTTCATACTCATTTTATGTTTTTTGCTTCTCCTGTAAAATAACCTTTTCGGTACGTGGGCTTGTGGGTGAACCCCTCCTAAATGCCGAAACGATTTTAACGATTTTTTTATGTGTTTGAGTGGGTCCCTGTATAATTTAAGCTCACAACTTGAAACGCCAAGTGGCGCTGGAGTCGAGTTATTACTAATAATCGTATTTATTGTCCGATTTGACTCATATTCGAGATATAAATACATTGGTAACGGTATGAGCAATATGTACTGCTGCACAAAAAGAGCTGCAAGGTGGCGCTGGAGTTGGGTTATGGTAAAAATCGTCAAGTGGAGTCACTCAAAAACACCAAAGATCAAAGTTAAATTACCAAAGTTAAATCAACCACCAGAACCATTGCCATTGCGGTCCTTGCTTTACGGCGACTAAACAGAATAAAGAATATCCTTGATAAACACCTACAAATACAATTGTAAGATATCTAAGGTATTTCGTCTGAAATAAATCTATGTATATTGGAGGATATCCCTTCTGACGACCACAGAACCAATAATGAATGTGAATTGTTGGTGAAAACGTTGGACCAAATCTTTAAATAAAAAATTAATTTTGGGCGGGACGAAGTCCGCTGGTATTTGTATACATATGTAAATTAGACTGCATCACATATTTACAAAAAAAAATCGGTACTGGTTTTCCACTTGAATTATAAAATTTATTATATATTAAAACCTGCAACAAAAAATTGCGTAACAATAAATTTGGTGTAACTTTCTGACCCAATCGTGTGATGCAAAAATATTGGACTTTGGCCTACTCTTGAGAAAACCCCGTGGGAAACCGCCGTTAGGGAAGGAAATATTATATTTTGTTATACACCTTCGAAATACTTTCTTAACCTTTACCGATTCTGATGAAATGGAAGCGAAGTCTATGTAGATGTTTGCAATTTCCTTTCCTTGTTTGCAATTTTCTGTTCCTTTCTCGGTCTAATTTCGAAAGCTACTGAAGAAATTTGGTTTTCAATTTTCCAGTAAATTCGTTATAACTTATGGTGGTGGACTTCAAAATCGTCATTCGTATAAAGGTGACATTGGTGATATTGGTGACAAACAAAATTCAACAGTGTATGAAAGCAACATCGAATTTCTACACCTAGGCGATACTAGTCGAATTAAATCTTCTTTGGTGGTCCCATAATAATTGGTTTAGATCCGATCGTTGGAGCAAGAAGTAATTAATGGTACACCTAATTTGTTGTGTTTTCTTGCTTAAAAATTACTTGTATATTTCATAATTTGCTTAACTACGGCGAAAAATTGTGAAATTTTAATTAAATATTTTATTTTGACCGTTATACCTTTGCGATTCCAAAAATGTATTCCTTTGGCTGTGTAAAATACAAGAAGCAAGATGTAAACAGCTGTTTATTGTAATGGCAAATTGCTACAAGTAAAAAGGGTGCGTTCAGAAATGCATCAAGCCAAAGCATCAGACTCTTTTACTTCTAAATTATAACTGATGGAAATGCCTCATTTACGCAACTATGTTCCAATTAGGCATTTAACCGTGGTTGCGCATATTGGACATTTCCATCAGTTATAGTTTAGAAATAAATGTGTCTGATGCTTTGGCTTGATGCATTCCACAAACACAAACACAAACTTGCATCTTCCTTTCAAATACGAAAACGCCACTACATGAAAACTCGTAACAATTGCTAGTAGTTTTCACTGGCTAGTATGTAAACACAACGTAACTGATGTATATATAAACGACACTACGTCTCTGTATGTATATCTAAATTCTATACGAAATTTTAACTTTGCGAGAGCAAAATTATATTTTTTCGCAGTTGTTGTTGTTGTTGTAGCGGCTACAACAACCCCGCCCAGATCG